AAAAATCAGCAACTCTGAAGTTGGAGACATTTAATTGCTTTGTTCTGGAATAGGTAAATATGTTGTTAAGCACCTGAGGTCCTTTTTTTTTTCTTCTTTTTAAATATACATGACAGTAGAGTGTATTTTGACATAATATATATATATATATATATATATATATATATATATATTATACCTTATTCTAATTAGGAGCCCATTCTTATGGTTGTACATGATGTGGAATTATACTGGTAATATATTCATATATGAACATAAGAAAGTTATGTCTGATTTATTCTATATCTTTCTTATTTCCATCCTTCCTCCCTTACCTTCCTTTCCCCTTTTCCAATCAAATGGAGTTCTATTCTTCCCCTCCCCACCTTCCCTTGTTGTGGATTAGCATCCACATGCCAGAGAGAACATTCGGCCTTTAGTTTTCTTGGGACTGGCTTATTTCACTTAGCATGATATTCTCCAGTCCCATCCATTTACTGGCAAATGACATAGGGAAATATACAAAGGAAAGTTTAATATCCATTGGCCCTACCTTAGCAACACTTCTGCTGAAGTGTAAAGTCAGGGATCTGACTTCAAGATATCACCAAAGATTTCAATATTACCTCTTACAACTAATACATTGTAAAAAGATGTCCCTCTGGCAAGGAATCCGGATCTTTGGAATTTTTGTCCAGTATAAGGGCTTTCTTCAGATACGCTAAATAGTATAATCAAAAAATTCTTACTTCTTATTCTTTCATACACCATTTATACTGGCTTACTATTATAAAACAAAACAAAATAAAAGCATAATACCATCTCACCAGTTTGATATTCCAGAATATTTTTTAGGTTTGTAAGAATTTCTTATGAAGTCTTCAAATTGTAAAACACAGGTTCTTGACATCAGTAAGTGTTGTGTGAAGCTGCTATCTAAATATGATCATAATAGCAGGTGTTCAGTGTGATGAAAAATACCTCAGATTCTAAATGAAATTGTGAAGATAATCTAATTCTGACAGAAAACCACCTGTGGACATGGTCTTTTCTCATTTCACTTCTTCTGTTTTTTAGGAAGGATCTGGGTATTTATTCAAAGTGCTTCAACAGGATATCCCAGTTAAAGCTTTGACAGACTGTTTATAGTTCATTTCTGCCCAGGGGCAATGAAAGGCACATTGCAGGATAAGCAAGGTGACTCCTCAGCAATGGGAGGAGGATGTGTGGGTAGGATTATTAATGTTGAAATGAATTAGGATGGTGTGACATGTCTGAAATAGCACCATGGGTTAGTAATGGAACAAGAAGTCAGAGGCAGACATCTGTAATGCTTATCAGTTCCCTCATGTAAACAAAACTAAAATTTAGGTAGAGGGAATAAGGAGGATGCACAAAGATATATATGACAGTATTAAAAAATATTCTTCTAGCACAAGGTCATTTGATATTTTTCAAAGCTATTCTGTTTAAAAGTTGGTGTAGGGCCCTGGGTTTAAGGTAGGAAGGGAGAAAGAGAGCCATTCTTTTTTACCTGAGTGCTCAACCTTCTGATCTTTGTGATTACACCATCAGTATGTGTCTGTTCTGACCAGTGTTGTCATGTTCATTGTTGAAAGCTGTCCTTGCTTTGTGCTCTCAGTATAGAAAGGGGGATTCCTGGCTCACCTTGCTGGCTTTTTTTGTTACTGTACACAGTGGCTAATACATCCCAGTATTTGTCTATCCTGGGAGAATCAGGTGTTCCTGGCCCATCCCAGGCTCTAAGCATCAGGGTTATATGTCCAAGGAATTAGAATATTTCAGTCATTTTCATTAGTTTCTTAGTACATTCTCTTTTGTCTTAAGAGAAGCTGATTATTTAAAAGTTCTCTCCAAACACTAATTAAAAATATACGGCACCTTCTTTATATCAATGTCATTTTACATATCTAGTCCTGGAGGAAGAACCACATGTGAATCAAGTGATGAGCCATGTGGGGAATCTGTCAAAAATCACAGTCACATGTCAAATTGAAAATATATGAAGTTGGAAATGTAGTATGTTGAAAATCCTTAGTGTTAGATTCTCCTGAACAGACTGGGAGTTCTGAGTCAACCTGAATATGATGAGACAAGGATCAGAACTTGACCTTTACCAGGAGGTGTAGGAAAAGCAAATACGATTATTTTAAGATACTTTAATTTACACATTTGGAAAATGCATTTTATATTAATTGAAGCCCGGCTAAGTAGAAATATTCTTAATCACAGAAAAACAGAAATAATCCTCTTGTTTGCTGTTCAATTCTTTATCTGTTCTCACTTTCCTTCTTCTTATCCCTTCATTTGCTTCAATATATGTATTTTCTTGCATAGATTTCTATGTAAATTTTAAATATACATATAAAATATTAGTATATGAAGATATTCATTCTGCTTCCTTATTTGTCGCTTATTTTAATATCTGTCCTCTGGCCAGGCATGGTGGGGCATGCCTGTAATACCAGTGAGTCTGGAAGCTGAGACAGGAGGATTGCAAGTTTGAAGCTCTAAGCAACTTAGTGAGACCCTAATACTCAAAATAAAATAAAATAAAAAGGGCTGGGGATGTGGCTCAGTGGTTAAGCACCCCTGTGTTCAAACCCCAGTACCCCTTACCACACCCCCAATGTCCATGCTCGTTGATGTGTGCATCTATCTATGCATTGCTTCTAAGAACAGCCCTAAATAACTTAGTGGTAGATAAACCAGACTGACCTTTGACCTCACAGGTAGCACCTGCATATCCCATTTTGCCACAATGACTGCTCAATAATTTAAAAAGATAACATTACATTTTATTTTTTAAAATCAATCACATGTGTCAATTTAGTGTTCCAGTTAGAAAATTTTAGCAATAACATATAAGCAATCAATAAAACTAAAATGTATAATTTGAATGGATAGATAGATATATACCAGAAAAACATGTGTATTTAATCCACATGCTCAAGTCTAGGAAAACATCATTTACTCAGAACTGATTCAAAGAATGCTGTAACTACCATGGTGATTTTGTTCAGGAAAATAGTAAATATGACTCCGTGTGAGAATCAACCCAGAATACCTATCTATCATCTTTATCTTGTCATTTTTGTGATCCACAGTTCCTGGGAATACTAGGATAATCCATTTTGCTATGCAGTGTTTCAAGTTACATATGGAGCTACTGAGCTTTCAAAGTAAACATGTGTACTCAACTGTGCTATTTACATTGGTGGGAAAATGGCACAGCTAAGAAACTCAGGAAGGACTAAGAAACTTCCTGAGTTTCTTAGTCCTAAAGAAGAATATGACACTGCAGATCTTATACCACTGGAACTTTGTTCATGTCTGGTCACTACTATACCAGTACATTGTTCAATCAAAATTATCAGACCTCTTTGCTAAAAAGTCTGATGACCCTCACACCCCACCTCCATACTTCCTCCTGGATCCCAAATCCCTGGTGACTGAGTCTCCAAATTGCCTATCAAGACACTTGCATTCTTCCTAATGAGAGCTCTCCTGGAAGCAGCATCTTGCACTCATTAGGGGTATGAGCTCCTGAATCCCACCCAAGGTCAAATTCACAAACCACAGGTGGTTTGTTTGTTTGTTTGTTTTGTGAGAGTTAAATGTGATGAGACTTGTGAAACTGTAAGATGAGTTGGCAGCATAGAGTAAGGGCTTTTGAAACTCTAAGATGAGTTGGCAGCACAGAGTAGGATGCCATCATTTAACCACTGTATCCCTTTCTCTCCCCTGCTCCCCCATACTCCCCACCAACAGTGCACAGATTGCAGATTCCTGCCTCTTTCTTGCTCTCTCTCCACAAGGATTACACTCCTGTTTTTCCACCTGCCTATCTTGACTGTGCCTGTTCTTGCCCTTCCCCTACAGCAGTGCCCCAGCACTCCCTCCATCTTCCATCCTCTGTTCACCTGCACCACATCCCCCGCTCCCTAGTTGGTTCCACCTGTTGAGAAATACCTTTGCATTTGTTCTCTTTAAGGACACTTTAGGTTCTGGAAAGCAAAGGTTTTCTTTTTCTTCTTTTGTCCCTTGGAAGATAATTCCTTTTAGATCAGGAGTAGTGCTTTTTCCTGAGCCACTGGCTTCTTTTGACTTTAAGGTACCAAATCTTACACCTGCTTATGTTTGTTTCCCTCTGCACTGACTGCTGTAGAGCCCAGGTTCAAACTGGTAGCCTACATCTCTCTGGGGCACTGCATTTGGTGACGTTTTGTGTACAAATCTTGCCCTGTTTCATATTATTTATTTTATGCATGTTGATTCCCTGTGATCTTGCTTTCTGCACTTTTATAGCCCTGTTGTATTTATTTTGTAACCGTATTAAATCCCTTTGGGAACTAAGTGGGACATAAATACTTTCCTAAATACTAAAGACTTTACTTTGGGGCAACATGGAGTGTGTCTTTAAAAAATTAAGCCGTACTGAGGGTTGAGGGTGTAGCTCAGTGGTAGAACACTTGCCTAGCATGTGGGTGAGGCCCTGGGTTTGATCCCCAACACGCAAAAAATTAAATAAAAATTAAGCTATACTGTGAAACAGATATTTCTAAATTAATTATGAAAAGATATAGTAGCAGATGCTAGCAGATGTTGATCAATTCCTTCACCTACATGAGCTTCATGGCCCCAGCACTCACCAGTTTGCTTAGTGAGTAAATGCCCAGGCAGTGTCTGGAGAATTATGCTTGTTCTTGTCTCCAGCCTCAAGGCATTCCAGTATGAAGCCGTGGCCCCATCTTATGAAATCAGTTGGAGTGGGGTTTCCTTCCTAGGAGTGAGCAGTTCTGACCATTAATGTCACTTAAGGATGCTGGATTTCTGGATGTCAAGGAGTTGAAATCTGTCCACAAAGGCTTCCTGGTGTCAACCACTTGCCTCTGGCATCCAAAATGTGGCAGCTGGCCCTTCTGGGATTGTGAATCCCTTTTGGACTCTCTGTGTGTGCTTCCTGGTCTGACCCTGCTGTCACCCTCTTCCCCCCTCAGCCTTGTAGCAGCGCCTGGGAACCCACATCCTGTGGAAAGATGGAGGATCAGATGACGGCTTCCGGTCAGGCTCGCAAATATGTGAACGCGTTCTCAGCCCGGACTCTGGTTATGTGAGACGTTTCCAGAAAAGCATTATGATTTTCAGAACACTTCAAGTTGACTTGGGATATGTCATTCCTCGACATGAAACTTTTCATGATTGGGTGAAGAATCTATTTTTGTTGTGGTACAACAGTTGAGAGCAGCACCAAGTGCATAAGCGCATTTAGTTGGATGAAATCTTATTAGATTTCACTCAACTAAAAGGATTTTTTTTAATAAATAAATAACGGTCTTACCTAAATTATTAGGTAATGAATTGTAACCAGTTGTTATTATCTTGTGCAGATTTTTTTAAAAAAAGCATAAAATGATTTATCTGTATTTTAGAGGATCCAACAGATCAGTATTTTTGCCTATGATGAGTTTTTTGAAATTTTACACAAGAGATACTCCAGTATTTCTCTTTTCTCAATCACTAAACATATGAATAGATTTTTTTTTAAATCAGTAAAAGCATTACTATAAATGTTGAAAAATATCACGAGACAATAGAGATTGTTAATGCTCATTTATGGTTCATAACATTGGAGGTACATTAATTGTACTAAACCATTTTGAGTTTTTTTAGCTTGCTTTAAAAATTATTACTGTATGAAATAGTTTTATAAAAAATTATATTTTTATTCAGTAATTTAATTTTGTAAATGCCAAATGAAAAATGTGTTTTGCTGCTATGGTCTTAGCCTGTAGACATGCTGCTAGTGTCAGAGGAGCAGTAGAGCTTGGTTGAAAAGAAAAAAAAAAAACTTGGTGTTAGGTAATTGACTATGCACTAGTATTTCAGACCTGTTTTATTTTTTTATATGTATACATTTTTTTTCCTTTTGTAATACATTGGAAAACTTGTTTGGGAGATTTTGCATTTGTTGTTGTTGTTGTGTGTGTGTGTGTGTGTTTTTTTTTTTTTTTTTGTAATTGTTGGTTTAAAAAAGCATGCATTGCACTTCTTTTTTTGGGAGATCTATGTTGTCAATGTCCTATGTTTTGTTTTGATTTCAACCCCTGACTGTTCTTTAATTCAGGGATTCTGAGTTCCATCAACATCCCCCAGGGTTTCTAAGTGTATGGTTTCGGAACTGCCTCACAGATACTACGTTTGCAGCTGGGGGAGATGAAGACTGAGGTCAATAGTCAGTTTCTGCCTTAAGAACATTCAGTGCAAGATGGCCAGCACTGAACTTTTGATATGACAGTGTACTTACTGCCTTGTAGCAAAATAAAGCTGTGCCCTTATTTTACTTATTTTTGACTTCTCTCTTATTTATGATTGTGAATGTAGTTATAATTTTTTCAACAGAATGAATTCCATGCACTTTTCCTTTCAAAAATTTGCACGCTATCTGAGCTTCATTGGAAGAAGCAAGATTCATTACTATGGAGAAAGAAGAACAAGCAAACCAAATTAAATCATTCATAAAATAGTTATAGTGACAACTGAGAAGAACCTTCCAAAATATATCAGTAGAGGTTCTGGCAGCTTTTTAGTTGGGATAATGCAAAAAGAGTTCATTTATGAAATTACCCATATCACAGATATGAGTAGGGTGTAGTAGAGCCAATTGCAGGCTTAAACTTAGGGGCCACTTTATAATTATTAACATAAATTAATGGCAAGAGTGAACTCAATGTTATATAAAATTAAAATACATATTTACTTTCTCAATAAGTATATAACTCCAAAACTAGTATCTTAAAAATCTAAACTATTTGATAGGAAAACTAGTTAATATAATAACTAGTCAATAAACTTAGATTTTATATGCAAATGCTAACAAACTCAAATAGTAGTCATTTCACAGTCATCTCTAAAACGTTTTTGTCTTCATCTATAAAAGCAAGTAGAATGTTAAGATAATTGCTAGTAACATAACTGTAGAACAAGTTTTCAACAATCTGAGGGTTTTTATAATAAGGAATACTGTTAACTGGGGATAAATTTTAACAGTCACAACTAAAGGAAAGTTAGCTTTCATCAAATTTATCAGGCCCATGTCCCTGATTGTGTGTTAGATTACTTTCTAAAACTAAGATCATATCTAAATGAATCATATATTCTTGAAATATTCCTAATCATTCTGAGAACCAAAAACAATTTAACTCAAATAATTTGCTTCTAGATCATCTCAGTGTGCCAAATAAGTTATTAGAGATGATAGAGTGGGATCAAAGTACTAAATACTCTTTCAGGGGACTGGGCAGTTAGCTTAGTGGTCGAGGGAGAGCTAACCATGCATGAGCCTGGGTTCAATCCCAGCACTGTAAAAACAAATAAAACTTCTGTGAATGTTTATCTATATTTCAAACATAATCACATGAAAGGTGAAATGAAAGATTGTTCAAATTCTAGTAATTTCAGGAGGCAGTGATTAGAGGCTTCTAGTTTATAGTCAAAGTTCATTGATGGTTTTTTAGCTCTGGAGGCTAGAAAGTCTAAGATCATGGGCTCTGGTCAAGTCAGAATCTGGTGAGGGCCCATTTCCTGATTCATAGATGGCATCTTTTTGCTGTGTTTTCACACAGCAGAAGGGCCTGCTTTTTTAAAGAATGATTTTTCTCTCTACACCACAAATTCAGGCAGTAAAATAAATGGAAGTAGAATTTTTACTTGACTTACTATGTGTGAAGGTGGCAACTACATATTATATCCAGAGAAGAAGAAAGAAACTGAGAAGACTGATTTGGCCCAGTCTAGATGAGATGGATAGGTAGATGTCCAGGAAAGAACTTCCTTGTTTTTTAAGAAATTATACATATTAGAACTGGAAGGGATCTTAGATAGCTAAGGAGCTCATTGCTTTATCAAAAGAAAATCAGTTTTATAGCTTGACCAATCTTGGTTTTAACTCAAACTTTGTCCTTTCTTTACTAGCTCTATGACTTTTTATGAGTTTTATATCTTCTAACTTCATTTTACTTGTATTTTACTAACATTGAAGATAAAAAACTCCTCAAGATTGCTGGGCATCGTGAAGATTACATAAGATAGTCACTGCCTTCTTGCATCTCTGTATTTGGTACTGTGCCTGCCAATTAGCTAAGTCACCATGAATTATGATTAAAGAAAAAAACAAGTCTGTTACCAATCAGTGGAGAAGGGAAGGCTTCTGAGGCCCATGTCCCTGATTATGTGTTAGATTTACTTTCTGTCTGAAAACTGAGATCATATCTAAATGAATCATATATTCTTGAAATATTCCTAATCATTCTAACATACATCAACCTTTTTTATACAAATGTATGTAGGAAAGATAGGGCATGTTTTTCCTTAAACTTCCTGGTTTCTAATCTGAAATGTATCTTATGTGTATTTGTTTTCTCCGTTGTCGGTAATGACATGACAGTATTTGTTAAGTGCTCGCTGTATGCTAGGAAAGAAGAGTGGGAGGGAAAGGGTCTGGTGTGGGAAGAATAACGGTGTCCCAGTGCTCAGAGTGAAAGGGAAACTTGTTCAACAAAGGACTTACTATGAGCTAGCACTGTGCCCATGGAGGACTGTAATAGTACAGAGATACTCAAAGAATGCATCTTGGACCTGTAGCATCAACATTGCTTGGGAATTTGAGCCATAGTTAAGCAGGTGGCTCTGATGTGCCTGGATAAGGGCACAGAACACGTATTGGTTTCATTACCAATAAAAAGGCAGGAGGTCCTTTCTAAAATTTCTGCTATTTAGTTTCAAACTCTGTGTTTCTATTATGGTATCATCAAGTTTTCTTGTGGTGGGGCATACTAGGTATTAAACTCAGGTGCACTTGACCACTGAGCCACATCCCCAGCCCTATTTTATATTTTATTTAGAGACAGGGTCTCACTGAGTTGCCTTGGGCCTTGTCTTAGCTAAGGTTGGCTCTGAACTTGAGATCCTCCTGCCTCAACCTCCCAAGCCACTGGGATTACAGGTGTGTGCCACAGCGCCCAGCTGGTGTCATCAATTTTAAGACTGTGGATTTAATAACTGTTTTCAAAGAAAAACAAATTGGACTATGTTAAAGATAAAGACTGAAGTCAGAAAAATTTAAATCATGAAAAAGGACAATTTTAATTTAAAGAAATACTGTTATTAAAAAGTAAATATGAAACAGGTCTTTCTTTCTTGATACTTTTGGGGGTATCCAATAAAATTGCTCCATCTATAATTATATATGTTATGAATATATATATACATATATATATGTATATATATATAAACATGTATGTATATATATATATATACTTTTTTGAATTCTGCCTTGAATAGGAAGTGCTCAACAGATAATTATTGAATAAATGAAGGACTTAGGTTCTAATCTGGATAAATGAATGAGTTAATTCTGTCCACTGTTAGTTATATGGGGCCATTAAAGAATAGGTGATAGATTTACATTCTTTAGAACAATGATCAAATGAAAACAAATCCTTACTCCATCCTTAACATCTGCCCCTAAACACAGGCTGAGGGCAATTTCTCAACCTATAAGTTCATTTCAGAGGACACTTTCTAGCAGGAAAACCTCACAATTCTCTCCTAAGTGTTCAGGTGTCTTTGGGCTCCTGAAGCTTTCTTTGAATTTTGTTTGTCTTTGATCTGAAGACGTCTGTTTGCTTTGTAACTATATACAGGATTAAATACTTCCTCCATTTAAATAGAAATCCCAGAGCACGGAGGTGTAAAGTGACTTGAACAAGGGTTTTTGGCAAGTTGATTAGAGACTAATTTAGAACCAAGGACTTCTGAATGTAAATGTTTTGTTTTTTTGTTTTTTTGCTTTATTTTCACATTAAACTTTTTGAGATATGTATTTCCTTTTGCTAAAACTTGTGCAAGAGAATCATAAAAGAGGTTCAGATATATTGAGAATAAAATTATCTTTCCCCACATACTGTAAAAATCAAACAAAAGACAGATCTGAAGGCCAAGGTTAGTTTTAATTACCAACATCTGTGACATTATGTTATGATTCTTTGTATTTAAGAAAATCTTACAGTTAGGGTCTTAAAAATGTTCTAATGTTCTATAGGCCAATGGACATTTTAATTTAAAAAACATGGGCTCCCCAGGCACCGAAAGCTATTGAAAAATATTCAGGCAGAAATCACAGGGTTGGGGAATAACAGATTTTTCCTAAGGCAGGGTTTTTGTTTTGTTTTGTTTTGGTTTTGGTTTTTTTGGTTTTTTTTAGTATGGTCCTTGCAGAACACCTGTGTTAAAGTCACCTGGAAGCTTGCCACACACTTGACTCAGACATCAGAGTTGCTAAGGAATAGGTGAAGAATCTCCATTTTAAATAAAGTTCCCAGGAACTGGGGTTGTGGCTCAGTGGCAGAATGCTTGCCTAGCATGTGTGAGGTACTGGGTTCGATCCTTAAAGGCATGCTGTTCATCTAAAAAAAAAAAAAAAAGAATTAAAAATAAATAAGTTCCCAAAATGTTTCTGAGGCTCAATGAAGTCTATAAACCACTAACTCTATGAATGTGCTCTAGATTAAAAAGTGAAATAAAACATAAAATCATGTGGAAATCACCTTTAAGAAAAAAAAACATAGGCAAGATTACTAAATGGGAAAAATATCAAAATATAATCAAGAATTATACCATATAAAAACTCAGGGATGATTTGGTTTCAAAATGACAAGGAAGGTTTTAGACAAATTATTGGTTGAAGCTATTTTGCTCTTAAAGGAGGAAAGTGTTTATGCAATCAACTCGTCCTGAACAAATGACTTTGTTGACTGTAAAATGGGGAAAAAATTATGAACTTCAGGTCAAAAGGTAAGATTTTTTCAGTAAGATTTCTAGGATTAAAGCACACTCTTTTGCAATTAAGTAGTTGGAAATATGTGATAAACCAAATTACCTGGGTATAAAATTCAGACTCTGTAATAATCTGTCTCTGCTAATCTGAGGTTTAATTTTATATCATCTACAATAAAGGATTTGGACAGGATTATTTGTATAAATCAGCTGTAATTAATCATTGTACTTCCTTGCCTACCATTCAATGACTCCCCCATATCTCTAAGGACAAAGTTCAAGGTCAGTTTACACAGCTTCCCAGCTTTGTTATCTTTTCCTATTCTCCAAGTTTCCCTTTCACTCTGAGCACTGGGACACCGTTATTCTCAGATGCTGTTCCCACCCAGCCTCTTCAGCCCTTCGCCTAAGACCGATTCCTCTCTCTCTCTCACTCACTCTGGTTGCTATCTCCCTAGGAATTAGCATGACACGATTGCCTTCGTCCTGGGCTTAATTTTTTTAAATTCTT